CTTACTGGAAGTCCTAGCTGATGCAAAAAGGCAAAAAAGGAAATAAAATCTATACAAATTAAGAATGAAGAAGTAAAACTGTTTTTGTTCATAGATGACATGAATGACTATGTAGAAAAACTCAAAGAACTTATAAAAGAAACTCCTCGAACTAATAAATCCTTATAGCAATGTGGAAGAATATAACATTAATATACAAAAGTCAGTTGCTTTCCTATATTTCAGCAATGAACAATTGGAATTTGAAACTTAAAACACAACACCATTTACATCAGCACCAAAAAAACAAATATCTAGGTATAAATGTTACAAAGTATGTTAAGATCTATTTGAGGGAAACTGCAAAACTCTGATGAAATGAAGCAAAGATCTAAATAAATGGAGAGATAGTCCATGTTCATGGTTAGGAAAACTCAATATTATTAAGATGTCAGTTCCTCCTGACTTGAGCCATAGATTCAACACAATCCGTATCAAAACCCCAGCAAGCTGCTTTGTGGGTATAATACATTGATTAAAAAGCCTACATGGAAAGGCAAAAGATCTAGAAAAGATAACATAATATTGAAGAAGTACAAAGTTGGGGGACTGACACTACTTAATTTTAAGTCTTACTATAAAGTTACATTAATCAAGGCAGTGTGGTATTGGTGAAAGAAAAGACAAATAAGTCAAGGACAGAACATAGATCCCAGAAATAGACACACAGAAATATAGTCAACTGATCTTTGACACAGGAGTAAAGGCAATCCAATGGAGAAAGTCTAGTCCTTTCAACTGATGGTGCTGGAACAATTGGACATTCACATGCAAAAAAATGAATCTAGACATAGATCATACACTTTCAGAAAAATTAACTCAAAATGGAATATAGACCTAAAACTAAAACACAAAACTGTAAAACTTCTGGAATATAACACGGGAGAAAATCTAGATGGCCTTGAGTTTGATAATGAGTTTTTAGATACAACACTGCAAGTATAATCCATGAAAAACAAATTGATAAGATGGAATTGATTAAAATTAAAATCTTCTGCTCTGTGAAAGGCATTGTTAAAGAATGAAAAAACAGAGGCTGGCCCTGTGGCCGAGTGGTTAAGTTTGCACGCTCTGCTTTGGCAGCCCAGGTTTTCGCTGGTTCAGATCCTGGGTGCAGACCTGGCACCACTCATCTAGCCATGCTGAGGTGGTGCCCCACATGCCACAACCAGAAGGACCCACAACTAAAAATATACAATTATGTACCAGGGGGCTTTGGGGAGAAAAAGGAAAAATAAAATCTTTTAAACAAAAAAAGAATGAAAAAATAAGCTAAAGACTGGGAGAAAATATTTGCAAAAGACACATCTGATAAAGAACTTGTATTCAAAATTTACAGAGAACTGTTAAAATTCACAATAAGAAAACAAACAACTCAATTAAAACACGAGCAAAAGATCCGAAGAGACACCTCACCAAAGAAGATATATAGATGGTAAGTAAGCTTATGAAAAGATATTCAATATCATTTGTCATTAGGGAATTGCAAATTAAAACAAGATACCACATTGCAGATTTATTAGAATGGCTAAATCCAAACACTGACAATATCAAAAGCTGATGAGGATATGGAGCAATGGGAAGACTCATTCATTGTTGGTGAGAATGCAGCATAATATAACCACTATGAAAAATAGCTTGGCAGTTTTTTACAAAGCTGAGCACAGTCTTACCATACAGTTCAGCAATCGTGCTCCTAGGTGTTTACCCAAATGAGCAGAAAACACAGCCATACAAAAACCTGCACTTGAATGTTTATAGCAGCTTTATTCATAATTGTCAAAAGTTGGAAACAATCCAGATGTTCTTCAACAGGTGAATAAATGAACTGTGGTACATCCATACAACGGAAATTTTCAGCAATAAAATGAAATGAGCTATCAAGCTGCAAAAAGACATGGAGGAACCTTAAATGCATATTGCTAAGTGAAATAAGCCGATCTGAAAAGGCTACTTACTACATTATTCCAACTATGTGACCATTTGGAAAAGGTAAAACTATAGAAAATGAAAAAAGATCAGTGGTTGCCAGGGGTAATGGGGGAGAAGGAAAGGAATGAATAGGTGAAACACTAGGGACTTTTAGGGCAGTGAAACTATTCTTTATGACACTGTAATGGTAGATACATTTCATTCCTAGATCTACGTCCAAGAGAAATAAAAACACATGGCCTCAAAAAGACATATAAAAGAAGGTTTATAGCAGCTTTATGCATAATAGCTAAAACCTAGAAAGACCTCAAAGATTCAAACCAAAAAGAGAATGGGTTAACAAGTTAAGATATATTTGTAAATGGAATACAATTCAACAATAAAATTTAATGTATGGCAGAAAAAGTAAAAAAAAACTTGGATGAATGTCACAAACATATTGAGCAAAGGAAGGTAGGGAAAAAAGCATACTTTATTATTCCTTTCATATGAAATCTTAGAGCTGGAAAAACAAATGTTGATAGAAATCAGATCACTGCTTTCCTAAGGCGGGGGCACAAGGCAATGTTCTACAATGATGACAATGTGTGTTATGTTGATTGGCACTGTTGAGGAGGAAAAAGTTTTCCTCTACCCTTCTAGGTTCATTTGGCTGGTCTAAGAATTAAATTGACATGAGACCAATTAACAGGAAAAACTCAAATTGAATTTCATACATACGAGGGCTCCATAAGAATATGAAGCCCAAAGAAGTGACCAAAGCAGGCAGCCTCTGTATCTTTTAGAAACAATAAATTTGTGAAGAGTTGACAAGAGAGAGAAGTTTGGGCTTAGAGGAGTAAATTAGGAAAGAAGTAACAAGATTTGCTTATACAGCCTTCTCAGTCCCACATTCCCCATCTCTGGTGATAACGATGTGGCTCTTGCTCCTGGTACAGGGAGGATACCTTTTACAGGGGAGATTTATTTCCTGCTTTCGGGAGGACAAAAAAGGGTCAGAGTGACCTTTTGCATTGGCTGTTTCCTACATAGCTTTAATTCAAAATAATCAATATGCCAACATATTTTGGGGCAGCCTGCCTGAAGCCCCATCAGCATGGTGGTTACAGATTTGCATACATTTGTCAAAATCCCTCAACTCTACTCTGAATATGTTAGCTGAACATGTTAGTTTAGAACTGTACATAAATTAAACTTCAATAAAGTTTGTTCACTACAAATAATATGCTTTCTAATATCAGTCAAAATTTAATTGGACTTAATCAGGAAATTTTTAGCTGTTATTATTAGAAACTGGGAGTAGAATGTGCTTCAGGAATAGTTGACTCAGTGGTTCAACCATAGACTTAAGAAAAGAGGGTATTTCCATTGCTCTACTCTGCTATCCACACAGTTCCTGTCATCTGAAGGCTAGCTCCCCTCATCGTCACAGAATGACTATCAGTAGCAAGCAGGACTATACATTTCTCTGTTCATATTCCTTGAGAGAGGAAGATTAGCTCCTTGATTCCTCTGAAAACGAGGAGGGGCAATTCATGACTTGCAGTTTGTGCCTACTGCTAAGCAAACCTGCAGGGTGATTGTTTTGATTGCCTTGGATTATTCAGTACCAACCCACAGGGCTGAATGTGAGGTCAGCATCCCAAGGCACCTTGGCTGCACGAAGGAAAGTGACTCTCTAAACAAGACTGAAGTTTCGTTTGTAAGGAAGAAGGGATGAATAGACCAACAACATGCGCCACAGTCCTCAATACTGGTTCTTTATTGTAAAATCCCATTTGCAACAATTTTAACTGCTACAGAACATTTCATTCTGTGAACAGAATATGATTAATTTAATCAAACGTTTATACTGAACATTTGGCTTAATACAGGTGAATTGTCACATTATTTTTCCTATCCTTGAGTCATCGAATTCATCTTTGACAAAGTGTGCACCATTGATGATTTCCATATTGGCAAAGACAGAACTATTAATCCATATTTCAGTATTAAGATCATCTAAGCAAAATTAACATAAACAGACCCTGAAGAGTTGTCAGCTGTCAGGAGATTCTCGCCTTCAGAGAAATCATCCAGGTTGATCATTTTAATTCCAGAGGGCAGGGGCTGGCCCCATGCCCAAGTGGTTAAGTTCGTGTGCTCTGCCTCGGTGGCCCAGGGTTTTGCAGGTTCGAATCCCGAGTGCAGACCTAGTACTGTTCATCCAGCCATGCTGAGGTAGCATCCCACATGCCACAACCAGAAGGGCCCACAACTAAAATATACAATTATGTACTGGGGGGCCTCTGGGGAGAAGAAGGAAAAAATTTAAAAAATAAAAAAATTTAATTCCCACGGGCAGAAGTACTTTCCCCAGTACCGGACATCCCACAGAGTTCCTGCCTTCTCTTCCATTTACTAAGTGGGAGGTGGACCAAAAGAGCTTGAAGCATTGGTAGATTTACTTGTTTACATGTTTATTTGTTTTCAATAGTAACTATAAAGATGAATATAGACGCTAAAATTCTGACATATTTCATTTGTAGACTTAACTATATCTGCCAAATAAACCAACACACAAACATACTTTCTTCAAATATTTCTGTATGTAGCCTGTCTTTTTCTTTTAACTTAAATAGAACATTTACCTAAACTTTCACCAAGCATTTTAAGACCCATCTTCTAGAATAGTGATCTCAAAACAATTTTTGATTACATATCCTTAATAGTAGGAAAAAAATTTAGTATACACATACTTAATTTTGAACACTTATTTATTTAAAAACCACATACCTATGATGTAATATAATATACCCACTATATAAGAATAGGAATTAAATGATATAAAAAATGAACACTTTAATTCTGCATTTTACTCACTGATGGTAAAATTAACATACTCTCATTTTAAAATTATTACTAATCTTTTTAGAGACAGCAATGTGATTGAGCATCTTTCATTATTTTGTAGAATCTTGGTTCAAAACTGTAATGTAATTCAAAAGTGTTCCAGTTATACATTGCTGAATAATAAGCCACCTCAAAACTTAATGACTTGAAACAATTTTATTATTTTTCACAATTCTTTTTATAAATTGGAGTTAGTTGGATACTTCGTCATTTTATTTTACTCTTTAAACAAAAAATACATAAAATCTGTTTCACACAATCTTGATTTAATGGTGCTCTGGGGAAACTTAAAGAAAATAAGTTCCGAATCATATTCATAAAATGTAAGGGAAGAGAAAAGTTCCAGTACTGACTAATATCACCATTCTCCATTTCGCTGCAGTTCAAGCACACCGTCTATTCTGAAAATCAAAGGCATGTAGTGAAGTGGCTTTTTCTGCCCTTCCTTCATTCCATCCCCATATTGTTGAAATAATAGTGGGAAAAGTTCATTCTAAATAAAGTTCCCCCAGAATTCTCCCAGATTTATTACGTAAGTTGTTCTCTGGGAAGTAAACTGATAAATTCTACATATGGTAGATAAGATCAGATCTGTATAAAAATAATTCGGCTTTAGATATAGTCAGGAAACAAGTGAAAAATGCAATTACTCAGTTACATCAAGATAATCAGGGCCCAATCCCAGGTCTCAATAGATAGCCATGGTGAGAATCAGCTTTATCATAATCAATTATAATTATCACACTAAGGCAATGAATTACAGACTTTATTGTAAATATGGCATATTTTATATTGTAGTAGAAAGAAAATGATCTGTAAGAACTTTAGTAAAAATGGAAATGCAAATAAATCAAGGGCCATTTGAGTGGCAACCCACACATAGAAACTATAAACTGAATGAAGCAAAGGAAAAATTACCAGAATACCTGATGAACATAAAGCTATGTCAACTGACTAGAAATAATTTCTAATTCTAATTCTCTAATTCTAAATCTCTAATGCTCAATTTCTGATTTCCCTTTGCCTACCCTGATGTTAAACGACAGGCCAAGACTGAACAGAGAATGCTGAGAAGCCCAAAGAATCCACTGGGCCAAAGCTAGAACTTGTCTTCCATGGATGTGTATTATATTCCAACTGCTACATTATATGCTTTCAGTTAAAGGTAATTAATCTGTCTGAGAGAAATGTAAAGTAACGGTTGGGATTATTTTGCTTTTGACTAACCCATAAAGAGAAAAATTCAGACAGATGGAGGAATCACATCATATAATTATATCAGTATCTAAGCCTTTAGCAATCAGACAAAATTAGGAAAGGAGGCTCACACTCCCTTCATTTGTCTGCAACGGGGCTTTCCAGTATAGTCTCTACACATGGAAAATGTTCAATGTATGTTCATTTCATGAAAGATTAAATGATTGAATCTGTGCACTGATTCTATAAGTAGAATAGATGACAGGCTACTGAAAAATTGAAAAGGAGATCTCTTTTACAAGACTCACACATGAATAAAAAGAACAAATTAGCTATCTCTATAATAGTGGACACCAACAGAACCACTTGCTCATGAAGAATGTTCCTTTCATATGTAGATCTTCGTCATCTTGCAAACTGAAGTCTGAGCTCCATGACAATAGACATCGTTCCAGCCCCATTGTTTTGATGCATAATTTAGGATAACACAACGCTCACTAGGATTACTGGGTTCACCTGGGTGCCAGAATCTGAAAGGGAGAAATGATGAGGATGTTTGTCAAAACAGTGCTTTGAAAAGGGTTAGAGACAGCAAGGGAGGGGGCTGGGGTTGAACTGTATGGAAGTCCAAGTCAGGTATGCCCAAATCATTCTTTCTCCACTTTTCCTGAAGTTTTTCCTCCATCTGTATCTCTGCCATCTCCCTTGAAAATTGTGCTTATGTCACACAGTATTGTGACATTTTATTGCATTAAACATTTTCCCAGCAGATCCCAGAGGCTCTTTTCTATTTGTGCATATTTATGTCCTGTTTCCAGAACACTGTCAGTCCATATGCTCCCTTAAAATGATGTAAAGATTTCATCCTGGTCTCAAGTACGAATGAATTTTGTTTCTTTTTTTATGCACTGCTTTTGGAGTCTGAAGAACTAGTTAAAATCTCTGAATCTGCTACTATCATTGTTATCTTGGGAAAGTAATTTAATTTCCCTAATTCTCACTTTTCATAACTAAAAAACAGAGACAGGAGTAATATCCCCATATATTTCACACAGTTGATATAAGGATCAAAGATGGTAATGTACTAACATGTACTAATGTACTTAAAAGTTTTTAAAGACCTACATAAATATGATGATATAAGTATCAGAATTTAGCTTATTTGCTTTATGAGATATTAATCTTAATAACTGGTTATCATCTTAACTCACATGAATTTTCCTTATATTTAGAGATAGAAAGGCAGTGGTTAATAGCACAGACTTTGGTGTCAAATAGACCTGCATCTGAGGACCATTGTTGCCACTGGATAAACTTCGCTGAGTTATCAAACTCTAAATTGAGTTTCATCTCTACAGTAGAAAAAATAATACTATGTGCCTCAGAGTTCTTGTGATGATTAAACGAGATAATAAGTGCAATTATTTAACCTAGTACCCAAGAGTTAAAAGAAGAGTGAGCTATTTTATTTCAATAGCTCCTAGTTGGAGCACCCTAAAATCCCTGCATGAGCCAGGACTGAGGTTTCCTTTATCTAACTCTATACTCACGTTATACTCTTGTTGTATGGTGCCTGATCAACCCATTGCCATTGTCTTTTCCCCTTTGGGTCTGACAGCCCTATATAATAAACATTTTTCACAGGTAGTTTCTGGGTGATAAAATCCTGTGGGAAGAAAAGAAAAGAGTTATAGCCTTTAGAGTATTCAGGTAGAATTGAGTTCTTCATGTTCTTAGGGAGAAGAAAAGGAGAGGATCGAAGAAGAGCTACATGGGAGCCATGCCCAGGAACCTAGGTCTTCTCTGGCTGAGCAGCACAGGATAAAAGACATCACCTGTGAGCATGATGTTTGTCTTAGTCTGTTAGTTTGCTATAACAAAATGCCACAGACTTGGTAGCTTATAAACAACAGAAATCTATTTCTCCCAGTTCTTGAGGATGTAAATCCCAGATCAGGGTACTAGCATGTTCGGGTGAAGGTTCTCCTCTTGGTTCACAGATAGTGCATTCTCCCTGTGTCCTCACATGGTAGAAGGCGCAAGGTAGCTGTATGGGGTCTCTTTTATAAGAACACTAATCCCATTCATGAGGGTTCCCCCCTCATGACCTAAGCACTTCCCAAAGGCCCTACTTCCTAATACTATCACCTTTGGGGGTTAGGATTTCAACATATGAATTTGGAGGGGATACAGACATTCAGAATATAGCAAGATCAATACATATGGGAGTCATTTCTCTCCATATTCATAATGAATTGTCATCTCAGACTCACTTCCTCTCTTATCTTCACTAAGAGATGGCATTCTTCAAAGTTACACATAAGAAAATTTTTGCAGATTAAATCATTTTCCTTTCATAACTTTGGAGATTCTTTAACTGTATTTCTGGTTGTTGATTGTGACTCTTCATGATTGAACTTTATGTCCCTATTTGATGTAATACCCCTTCTCTTGTAAATACTTAATAATTTATAACACATTCACATTTTAAAATAATTTATAACAATTTGAAAAATAGTAAACTGATATTTCAGATGGAAATATTTTCACCCTTCCACTCAAACCTCATGTAATATATTTTAAATGCCCCAATTATTTGGCGGGAGGTTATTTTTATGGAAGCAGGAAGAAGCTGTGGAAGGTATAGACTTAGGTAGCCTTTCCTCTCTATTTTATTGAAAGCCTTCTGCAACAGCACCAATACCCTAAAACCATGAAAACTTCCTCCTGAGACAAGAGAGGTGTACGAAACCCAGACAGGACTCCCGACTCCATTATCGATTCGAAAGTACCTCCTCTTCCTTGGTGGTGATCACCAGCAGGTGCGCATTCATTTCTGAGCAGCGCTTCTCACTCTCACTCCAGTTTCTGTTGTTAGCAGAAACAAAGTAGCAGTGGGATCTAAATGAAATCCAGCTCTTTGGGCAGCAGCTCCAGACTTGCTCCGTCTTGAAAGAAGGCCCTATAGGTACAATATAAGAAAAGTAATTTTTAAAGTGTGTGTATTATTAAAATTAAGTCCAAGGGAGATCACATGGAAACCAGAACTTCCATCTTCGCCCAGAGGTGACAAGGAGCCCCTGTCCACCAGCTGTCAAGGAGGTAAAGTCTACCTATATCAGGCAGTAACAAGGCAGAGCCCCCTTTTTCTTGCCAGAATGGTGTTAGGAAAAGCCAACAAAAACAGAAGGTTTATATAAGATCCAGATCTTACAATAAAATATGAAAATATTCAGCTTTCAACAGAAAATCACTCATCATACCAAGAAAAAGTTCTCATAATTAATTAAAAAACAATAAATACATGCCAACACTAATATAAAAGAAATATTAGAATTATCTGACAAAGATTTTTTCAAAACCATAACAAAGATGCTTCAACAAGAAAGTACAAACGTGTTTGAACCAAACAAAAAAATAGAAAGCCTCAACAAGGAAACAGAAATTCTTAGCAAACAAAATAAGATACAATAAAGACCCAAATGGGGGCCAGCCCTGTGGTGTAGCGGTTAAATTCATGAGCTCTGCTTCAGCAGCCTGGGGTTCACCACTTTGGATCCTGGGTGTGGATCTACACATTGCTTATCAAGCCATGCTGTGACAGGTGTCCCACATATAAAACAGAGGAAGATGGGCACAGATGTTAGCTCAAGGATAATATTCCTCAAAAAAAAAATGAACCAAATGGAATTTTATAATTGAAATACATAAAAACCAAAATAAAAAGTTTAGTGGATGGGCTCAACAGCAGAACTGAGAAGACACAGAAACCAGTGTTTTAAATACCAGAAACTTACTTTGTGAATATCTGCAAACTGAGTCTAAAGTTTATACAGTGGAGCAAAATATCCAGAATAGCCAAAACAATATTGAAGGAGAACAAAGTGGGAGGGCTGAGACTACTCAACTTTAAGACTTACTATAAATCTACAATAATCAAGAGAGTATGGTATTGACAAAAGAACAGAAAAATAGATCAAAGGAATAAAATAGAGATCCCAGAGATAGAATGACATAAATATGGCCAACTGACCTTTGATAAAGGTACAAAGACAATATAATAGAAAACAGTCTTTCAACAAACAGTGCTGGAACAACTGGACATACACTTACAAAAAAAAAAAAAAAAAAGAATCTAGACACAAATCATACACCCTTCAAAAAAACTAACTCAAAGTGGATCATGGACCTAAATTTAAAATGCAAAACTATAAAACCCCTAGAAGATGACACAGCAGAAAATCTAGTTGACCTTGGGTTTGGTAATGGCTTTATAGATATAACACCAAAGGCATAATCTATGAAAGGAAGAACTGATAATATGGACTTCATTAAAATTAAAAAGTTTTGCTTTGTGAGAGACACTGTCAAGACAATGAAATGACAAGCCACAGGCTAGAAAAAAATATTTGCAAAAGACACATCTGCACAAGGACTGTTATTCAAAACATACAAAATATTCTTAAAACAACAATAAGAAAACCAACAACCTGATTAAAAGTGAGCCAAAGATCTTAACAGATACTTCACCAAAGAAGACATACAGATAGCAAACAAGCATATGAATATGCTCCACATCTCATGTCATCAGGGAAATGTAAATTAAAACAACAATGAAATACCGCTGCATGCCTATTAGAATGAACAAAAGTCTGGAACACTGACACCAAATGCTGGTGAGGATGTGGAGCAATGAGAACTCTCACTCATTGCTGGTGGGAATGCAAAATAGTAAGGCACTTTGGAAGACAGTTTGGCGGTTTCTTACAAGACTAAAATACTTTTACCATATAACCCAATATTTACACTTCTGGGTATTTACCCAAAGGAGTTGAAAACTTATGTCCACACAAAAACCTGAACAGGGATGTTTACAGCAGCTTTATTCATAATTGTCAAAACTTGGAAGCAGCCAAGATGTCCTTCAGTACGTGAACAGATAAAGTGTGGTATATACAGACAATGGAATATTATTCAGCACTAAGAAGAAATGAGCTATCAAGCCACCAAAAGGCATGGAGGAAACTTAAATCTATATTGCTGAATGAAAGAAGCCAAATTGAAAAGCCTACATACAGTATGATTCCAACTAAACGACGTTCTGGAAAAGGCAAAACTATAGAGACAATAAAAAGATCAGTGGTTTCCAGAGCTTAGTGGGGAGGAAGGAATGACTCAGTGAAGCACAGAGCATTTTTAGGGCAGCAAAACTCCTCTATACGATGCTATAATGGTGGACACATGTCATTACACAATTGTCCAAACCCATATAACGTATAATACCAAGAGTGAGCCCTAATGTAAACTATGGACTTTGGGTGATAATGATGTGTCAATATAGGTTAATTGGGTTTTTAACAAATGTACCACTCTGATGGGGATGTTGATAATGGGAGAGGCTATGCATGTGTAGGGGCAGGCATTATATGGGAATCTCTCTAACTGCTGCTTAATTTTGCTGTGCACCTAAAACTTCTCTGAAAAATAAAGTCCTTTGAAATAATAAAAATTTATAAGTAAATAGAGCCTCACATAGTACAGATGTACCCCAATTCACTATGGTTTGATGTATAATTTTTCAACTTTATGATGGTGTGAAAATGATATGCATTTGGTAGGAATTATGCTTCAAATTTTGAATTTTGGTCTTTTCCCCAGCTGGTGACATGTGATACAATACTCTGTTCTGATGCTGGGCAGTGGCAGCTAGCTGCAGCTCCCACTCAGCCGCGTGATCATGAGGGTAAACACCCAACAAACTTATGACCATTTTGTACCCATACAACCATTCTGTTTCTCACTTTCAGTACAGTAGTCAATAAATCACATGAGATAGCCAACACTTTATTATAAAATAGTCTTTGTGTTAGATAATTTTTGCCCAACTGTAGGCTAATGTAAGTGTTCTGAACATATTTAAGGTAGGCTAGGCTAAGCTATGTGTTTGGTAGGTTAGATGTATTAAATGCATTTTTGACTTATGATAATTTCAACTTAACAATAGGTTTATTGGAACATAACCCCATTATAAGTTAAGGAAGATCTGTAATCCTAAATGAGTATACACAAATCTCAAATTTGCAAAATATGTGAAGCAAAAATTGATATAACTGGAAGGAGAAATAGACAAATCCACAATTACAGATGGAGTCATCAACACCCCTCTCTAACAGATGATGGAACAATTAGAAAATTAGCAACAACATAGAAAAACTCAACAACATCATCATACAACAATATCTAATCCACATTTATAGAACACTCCTTCCAACAACAACAGAATACCCATTCTTTTCAAGTGTCCATGGCACACATACCAAGATAGATCATATCCTGGGCCATAAAGCAAACTCCAACAAATTTAAAACAATTTAAATCATACAAAGAGTGTTCTCTGACCGCAATTGAATCAAACTAAAAATCAGTAAAAGAAAGAAAGAGAAAAATCTCCTAAAACATGGAAATTAAGCTACACACTTCTAAATAATCCACCGATCAAAGAAGTCTCAAGAGAAATTTAAAAATACAATGAACTGAAAGAAAATGAAAATACAGCATATGAAAATTTGTAGGACACAGTCAATGCAATGTTAACACAGCAATTTATAGCACTAAATGCATACATTAGAAAAAAGGAGAAAGTCCCAAGTCAATAATGTCATCTCCCACTTTAAGAACCTAGAAAAATAAGAACAAAATAAACCTAAAGCAAGCAGAAAGAAAGAGATAAATATAAGTGCAGAAATCAAGAACTTGAAAACAGAAAAACAATAGAGTAAATCAATGAAACAAAGAACTGGTTCTTTGAAAAGATCAATAAAATTGACAAATCTCTCATAAAACTGACAAAAAACCAAAAAGATGACACAAATTACTAGTGTGAGGAATTAGAGAGCATCACTACAGACCCTACAGATGTCAAAAGGATAATCAGGAATACTAAAAACAGCTGTACACACAAATTTGACAACTTAGACAAAATGAACTACGTCCTCAAAAAGACACAAAGTATCACAGTTCACCCGATATGAAATACACAATTTGAATATCCCTATAACTATTAAGGAACACAATTTATAATTTTAAAACTCCAAAAAAAAAAGGAATCTCCAAGCTCAGGGCATTCTACCAAGAGATTATTTGAAGTAACACCAATTTTGCACAATCTCTTTTAGAAAATAGAAGAGAAACACTTTTCAATTCATTTTATGAAGCTAGTATTACCTGAGATCAAAACTGGGGGGAAAAAGTATCAAAAAAAGAGGAAAAAACAGACCAATAGGCCTAATTAAAATAGATTTAAAAATCCTTGGGGCTAGCCCCCTGGCATGGTCATTAAGTTTGGTGCATTCTGATTCAGCAGCCCGGGATTCACAGGTTTGGATCCCAGGTGTGGACCTATGCCACTGGTCAGCCACAGTGTGGCAGTGACCCACATATAAAGTAGAGGAAGATTGGCACAGATTTTAGGTCAGCACTAATCTTCCTCAAGCAAAAATAAAAGGAGGAAGTTTGGCAACAGATGTTAGCTCAGGGCTAATCTTCCTCAGCAAAACAAAACAAACCTTACAATTAGCAAATACAATTCAGTAATATATACAAAGAATTATATACCATGACCAAGTGGTATTTATTCCAGGGAAGCAAGCCTGTTTCCATATTCAAAAATCAATCAATGTAATTAACAAAATGAACAAACTAAAGAAGAAAATTCACATGACCATAGTAATTAATGCAAAAAAAATTAACAAAATTCAACACCCATTCATGATAAAAACTCAGAAAAATAGGAATAGTAGACCCTTCCTTCTCTTCTTTCCCCTGGCTCGGCACAGAACAAGCAAGGCAATAAAGCCCAGCTCCCAGTTTCTCCCTGGTAGGGATGCGATTACACATCTAATTTCCTGACTTTTCCAGCTGCTAGCCCTAGTGGCTGGCTTTTAACTATCCTACACTTGAGAG